AGGGAAACTAATGCTTCCAACCTAAATTTTCATGGAAGTCAATGACTAAAAATTGATTTCCACATGTAAGTAGCAATTTTAAGTATGACCCTGGTTCGTCACATTCAGTGACACTGTTCCCAATTATCTTCAGGAAACATTCAGAAAATAACTAAATTTTTGAGTGCCTACAGGTAATGCAACAGAGAATAAGAGGCCTTGCTTCTCAGCAAGCTTACAGTCAGTTTAAATAAACACAATGGGAACAACAAATGAGTGTCCTCTGCACCAATAATTCACTTTTTAAAATAATTTAAAGTATCTTTTCTTTTTTTTAGTAACAATTCCTGTATTATCAAGGGCTGCAACATGCTAATTAAAGACAGTTGGAGTTATTTCTCAGTCTTCCTTACAGATAAGGGAGGGTAAGGAGGTGACAAGAGAAGTAATTTGAGTTTCAGGGGAAGCTTTTTAAATAACGTTTACTTAGGTAGCAGGTCCTCCTTTGCCCTTCTCATTTCCTGCTTCGTCCTTCCTGTTATAAGGACATGATGGCTGGTGCTGCTGTGACCCTGTTGTACTATGAGGCAGCCTTGGAGAAGGCAGAGAAGAAAGATAGGAGGAATCTGGGAAACTGATAATGTCATGGTGTCACTACATTGACGGGGGACTATCTACCAACAGGCATTTATGTGAGAGAAACTATATCTTTATCTCATTTAACAGAGCATTATTTCCAGTCTCTGTTATTTGTGGCCAACCACATCTTCAAAACAGATAAAAAATGTATTTCTCTGGAGATGAAAGACCATCTATATAGAACAACAAAGAAAAGAGAACCACATATTCCTATGAATTTCCTAAGAAATGTCCTAATATATGCAGAAACTTGTATAAGAACACATCTTCTTGGACCTCAACCTCAAATGACCACCATTTCCATTCTGGAACGACTGAACCTTGACCTTCCTCTCTAAAAAATATTTCAACTTCAAGATCACAAGCTCCATGTTTCCTCTCTGTTCCTTATACAGCCTGTTGTTCTACCTCTTTCACCTCCCAGAGACCATTACCTTTGGGCCGAGTCCTCAACAGTTCTCCTCCCTCCAACAGGTTTCTCTTGGCACTTTTTGCTTTCATTCATAGTGACACATTTTACAAATTCTGCCACCTCTCCTCCAGAATTCCTTTCCCCCAGCAACTCTAGGGTCTTAACCATGCATTTTAAAGTGCTCGAGCAGGTTCATAAATTACTTTAAAGGAAAACAGCAGCTTTCAACATGGAGGGAGAGGGCCCTTTAGCTAAGAATGTCAGCTGGTCTCTTAAATTTTAGAAACATCCTCATTACCATATCATCGCCTTGCTCACCCCTGCCATCTTCCTCACCACCACCTTTGTCATCACATCTTCTTCATCACTGCCTTTATTCCACTGTCCTCATCACCCCTGTCCTCACTACCACCATCTTAATTACTACTATTCTTACCACTTCTATCCTCATCAGCGGTACTCTAGAGAACGCAAAGTGCTTTTCATCATCAGCTCATTTAACATTCACAAGAATCTAATGAGGTAGGTTTTATGAAGAGCCCCAGTAACAGGTGAAGAATGTAGATGGTTAACATGCTTGCGTCCCATGTCTGGCCAGAGGATTCGAATACAGTTCCGGTCTCAGAGCCCACCCCTCCACATCTTTGTAAGACTGCCTCTAGCAATTCTGGCATCCAAAATGTATGGATCCCTTCTCAACAACAAACACTAGCCTTTCGGGAACATGTTAAAAAATTTAACTGTAAATTTACTTTATCTACATTGGACAAAGACTCCTCTGGGACACATAATATCTATGAGAGAAGAAAGTTTGATGCTCTTGCTGGCTACCCATTCCCATGGAAATCCCAAGCTCTTTGTCCAATGCCCATTTGAAGAGAATTTTTGTGCTTTTGCTAATATCCACTCGATGAAAAAATCTATGTTTATTTTTTTTCTTGAGTTCAGTGGTATTAATAAAAAAAATCAATCAAAAAATTTCTCACTCACGGTATTCAATCCATGACTAGGTACACACTTTTTTTTTTTCTGAGTCATAGATTGATAGGTTTTCTTATTTTAGATTAGGGTTATCCAATTTCTATTTTCCTTACTATATCTACATTGAATATTACAATGTGCCTTGAATTCTTTTATTGAAATAGGTTCACAAGCAATTCTACAAGTAAACCAATATCCCCAATGAATATTTCATGGGAGACCAGCTCAATGAGACAAGATGATGAGGTGGTCCAGGAAAATTATTCTCAGGCCAAATAAGTCTGAGAAATTCTACAGAGCATACCTACCCTTCTTGGAGAAACACCAAGTATTCTGAAGCTCTATAGTAAAAGATACTTTTCAAACTATTCGACTCAGTGTTCCCCATATCTATTTTACCCTGAAATCTTCCCCTACCTACAATGATGTAACTTGTGGAACCAGTTTGAGAAACATGGAAATAATGAGCAGTCTGTATTAGCAGCTACAGAGACAGTGTCATGGGAACAATAGAATGCAGCCACATCAGCTACTGTGGACTTTGCTGTTTTGAGGTTGAAGTCCTAAGTGCCCAACACATGACTGGGAGAGGGGGAGATTTCTACCTCCTGAACGAGTCATGCAGGGCTGAGGTGGAGAGGTTACTGGGGAGCCAGGAGGCCGAGAGGGCCTATCTGTCTTGAGCTACTCGGGATAGTCCCTGGACTCTACAGAGGGGTGGGCAACGGCAAATCCAGACATGGGTCTTTTCTCTGAATGCCTCAGAGGGTGGGAAACATCAGGGCAGATGAGGAAGCACAGCACTGCAGTTCAGAGCATGTCTCATACCAAGCTCTGTTCATATCCCATTTTTTGCCACTTACTCTGCCCAAGACCTTGGAGCAGTTATCTAGATTCTTTGAGCTTAACAAGCTCCTTCATTGGTAAAAGGTTAATGAAACCAACCTCACACAATTAAGTGAAGCAATGGATTGAAAGTGAAGAGCCTGTGGTGATAGAAGATGCATAGAACAGGCTTCGCAAATGGTGGGGCTGTCATCACTGATCCTATACTCTTGGTCAGTAAAAGGGGCGTCAAATACTTGGCACCTTACCCTGACCACCCCCCCCCCCAAAAAAAAACCATGATCTTAGCACATTTCCATCAGATGCATAGTGCAAATGACTTCCTAGTTTGGATACAAATTCAGTAACCCAATTTAATCTTGCATACTCAGGCTGTCCCCAAACATTTCTCCATTGGAAATAATGGGAAATGGCACCCATGATCCATAATCATAAAAGCACAATAGCCAAGAATAAATAATGGCTCTCCCAGAAAAGCTAACTTCGTTGTTATTTATAAGTTCCTAGGCCACCTTGCTATTGCCAAGAAAATCTACTTTACTTTTTTGCTGCTGTCTGGCCTCTCCATCTATACTTGCTGAAAAAAAAAAGTTATTGTTATGCTAAAATCACAATAGGATGCACATAACTCAGCACTAAATAGCACCAATAAAACTATGAAAATGGCATTTTGGTATTACAAGTTCTTTTCTATGGACTTTAACAAGATTCAATGCTTTTGTTCTCATAATGCTCTCGTATTTTCAGCTTTACAAAAAAAAGAAAAAGAAAGAAAAAGAAAGAAAAATATGAAATAGTACTCCAGCAAAACATCATCCTTTCTCCACAAAAAAATGTTTTGCTTTTGCAAACAGCGGGGCAGCAGGGCCCATGGTACACAGAATTAATATTGACCAGCAATTATGGTTGTGACCGCAAGGGTAGTATTTAGCAGAGGCTTACCTCTTTCTTGGTGAATTTTGGCGAGTGATCGTTTTTGTCATCAATCAAGATTGTCGCTGTGGCTGTGCCTATTAATCCAACATTCAGTCCAGCCATATCTTGAGCCTCGACGATCAACTCATACTTGGGATTTTCCAGAGTCTACAAAGCAAAAACACGACAAAGATGGCATTTAGATATGGGTTACCACTTTGAATGGGTAGCAAGCATGTTGCTTGGGTTGCCTCTATGCCCTCCTCCATCTGTGGCAGGCATTTTTAATCAGTTATAGCACTTTTATCTATTGTTTATAAGTAAGCCTTTGAAATCTCTCCAATATAAAACAGTTTACTATCCATAGACTAGAGCTGGCCATGGAGAAGGAGTCTATTTTCTGTCTTTATTTAAGGGGCATTTGATACATTCCAGAATGTTTCATTTGCAGGGTTTGGGTATACACTGCATGTTTGATATTTACACCTGCATATGTCATTTCATAGCAACCTCGTGAAACTGACCCGAAAACGAGGCTAATTTTGATGATGAGATTATGACAGAGATGGCAGCTTTAGGAACTCACATTTACTAAACAATTTGATGGGCCAGGCATTGAATTCCTGTACTTCCCAGAAATCATCATTATTAATCTGTCCAACAGCCATGTTAAGCTGCATCTATTGTTCCCGTTTTACAACTGAGGTTAAGAGTCACTTGTATCTAACTTCTTTCATGTCATTTATAGTCATTTTTTAGTCTTTTGTGTCATGTGAAATTTGGAAGACTCATTTTAATCTAACAATGATCTGATAAGTTTAACACGAGCAATATTACGCTATTATCTTTCAATGTACATGAGTTTTTCATTTGACTATTTGCCAGATATTTTGCTACCATGTTTAAACAACTAACCAAGTGGCCTTGATCTCAGGATGAAGAAGAGTGCAGTGGTTGGTTAAATTGCCTTCTGTGGTGGATCTGCCTGTCTTGGCCAATGGAGATACCATCCTTCTTCTGGTAAGGCAGCACCCCACAATTCCTTTGGGGACCTTCCCATCATTTATTCTCTGCCCATGTAGTGTATTGAATGACTTTCCCCACCCTCCACTCTGCCCAGCTTTGGGAATGAGCCCTGATGAGAAGAAGCCAACAAGTGCATACCAACACAGGGGTACAATGACAGGTCCAGGCGTAGGACCTGTGCTTAAAAATAATTAGCCTATTGTAAGTGACTTTCTGCCCATCATTGACAAGTTGAATTGAATTTACTACAGTTGGGAGAGGGAAGCTCTGTTTGTCTGTGGTGCGAGCCTGGAAGCATTTAGCCTGGGGACTGAATGAGTCATCTCATGCCACAGCAGAGGTAGGGGTAGGGACATCAGTTTGAGAATAAAGCCAATCTACTGATAAAATTAGACTTGAACCCTGGAAAAAAAAAAAGGTTCCCCAGTGACTGCACTGGAGCCACTTTATCATGCCATGTCTGAAGCCAGGGTTGCCTGTGGACTTTTGGTTAATTAGGGCACTAATTTTCCTTATTCGCTTAAACCAGTTTAGATTGGTTTCTTAATCACTCACACAGAGAATGTGAGTTGAATCACCATCGATAACAAAATAAAAGGACTTTGTTTTTTCTATTGAAGTTCCTACCAGTTGTAAACAGTCCCACCAGTATGACAGCTTCAAAACCATTGCTTATTCCAACCAATAATTAAGCAATACCACACGAAGCAAAGTACAAACACACAACAGGGTTCTTGAATTTCCTTCTAAAGCTAGAAGTTTACACAGCGAATTTTTATAGCTCAATGCTAGCTGTCCCTAAAATGTTTAAGTATTTTCAAAGGGTGGTGAGCTTTTTGCTCCCTAGGGTACCTTTAATTGGTTGTTTCTTAACTAAGCTTCTGAGTGACTAACATAAGTTTTAGTAGTTCTGTTGGGTGATTTGGAATGATCTAAACTCTTACATTCTAGAGGAGGAGTAAGATGTGTCTACACTCCTTGGACAGGGTTATTTGCAATGCTTTTTCCCCCCCAGATTTATTGAGGTATAATTGACATATAGCGTTTAAGTTTAAGGTGTACACCATGATGATTTGATACTCGTATCTATTGTAAAATAAGCTCCACTAGAATTGAAGTTCACACAATTCTCTAATTGCTGAGGGCAAACAGAATTTAACACCAAACCCAGCTCTAGGTAATTCTAGTTCTGCTTGGTTCAGCTGGCAGCTCTCTGTAAAGGTGCTTGAAATGCCATCTACTCTCAAGCTGAATCTGGAAAATCATCAGCCTAATGTAAGTGACTTTCTACTTATCATTGACAAGTTGAATTGGATTTACTATTTGCCATAAATAGCTGGACCATATAAAACCAATAAATTGGCCCATCTTCAAATTTGTATGTCTCTGGACGTACAAATCGCTAGTCAGGTCTAATCTCTCGTATGCCATTTTTACTTTTGTAATAATACATTGCATGTTTTTGGAAGCATGTCATCATAAAAATAAGAAAGTATGTGGATTTTTCTGATATTGACAAGGTCATTTCATTTTCCCCGTGTAATATCATTTATCAGCATAATTCCTTGACATTATTTTAAGGGTTTCAGGAAATATAACCCTATGCATAATTTATAATTAACTTGATTACTTATATTATTAGGACTTAAGTTATTTCTAGCCTTTAAAATTTTAACAATCTAAACAACACTGTAATAAACATCTTTATTCAGGAAGTCTTCAAAATATTTTAATATTTCTTTTTTGAATGATGGATTCCAAGAAGCGGAATTACTAGGTTAAAGAGTAACGTAAAATAAAGAACATTTTAAAGCTCTTCATTCATATTTCAGTATTGTTTTCCCAGAAGATCTTACCGATATTCAAATTGGTACTACTGGAATGTTTAGTTTATGATCCCTGGCTTGGCTTGTTTCTAAAGAACAGCTGATCTTGCTCCCTGAAGCAAATTGGTGCATGAGTGTGACTCTGTCATGGCTATCTAACAAGCATGTAAATTCATCCCAGCATTCACTCTTCTCCAACTTGCAGGACAAGTTGCTACGGACATGTACTCCAGGGCTACTGTAAGCACTAACCGTCGTGGATATGAGCTATGTTGCTTTCCCAGTGTCCATTTCCTCTTCCTCTGGTACCCATGCTATAATTCCTTTGGAGGCATCATCCCTTCCTCACTCTCAGCATAGGTGGAGTTCAGATAGGGTAGACACTATCCCTTATTTAGGAATGGTCATGTGGCTCATGCCTGGACAATCAGGGCCTCCTATTTGCATGACCATGTGACGAACCCGTAACCCAAGTGAGTCCTCCTGGGACTGAAACTCAATTCTGGGACATACTTCTTTTAGAACTCTCAGGTAAAAGATATTCTCTTTCTGTTGGATTTGAAGGTGGTAGGACATAAATCTGGAGCTGGTAGTGGCCATTTGCAACCACACAGAGAAAGTCAGCCTGAGGAAGAAGACGACACAGAACTGAGAGGTAGAGAAGGAGTTTTAACCTCATCTGAGCTCCTTAACAGTCATCTTTGAAGCCATAATTTACCCCTCAGACATTGTGAGTTTTATGAGCTAATAAATTTCTCCTTTCCTTAAGACATTTAAATTAGCTGTTCCATGAGTAGTAAAAAGAGACCAATTGACTAAAATTGCAACTAATGCTATGAACAATTATCTGGTTATTTGTAAGAAAGTGTAAGAGCTATCGTATCATACCGCAGTATCACAATAGGCTCTTCACAACAGCATTCCAATCATTTCTTGAATACATTATTTTCCTCTTAACATTTCCCCTCCATAAGATATATATTTTTCTTGATCAGAGAAAGTTGTTACACTTTTTTTCCATTAATTTATGCATCCATTTAATTGGAAATCATTATTCCTAGTCTATATATTGTGCTGGGTACTGGGGATCTAGGGATAGGAAAACAGAGTCCCTTCCTTTAAGAAGTTTAGATAAGTTCAGGGCTGGTGACAGAAATGTTCATATATAACTGCAACAAAATAGAGTCATAGCTAAAGATATTCTTATGTCTGCTTATGATATTCCTCTGATAGCACAAAGGAAAGAAACATTGGCTTGACTCTTGTAGTTTAACAAATTTTATAAATAATTTAAAAAAATGGACCAGCCAATTCCTATCTTCTGAAGTAAATACAATTTTATGACTGCAATGGTAAATAGATTGATTAACCTAGTAGAAAATCAATTGGACTTTTTAGTAGATAAATTGCAAGGTTTGAGATGAAATGTTCAGAAAGTCTCAATTTTCTGGCAAACTTAAGGCATTTAAAATGTTTTTTTTTATTATTATTTAAAATATATCCAATTATTGTAAGGAAAGTAGAAACCACATAGTTATTTCTGAAGTGGAAAGAGGGATTTCTCTCCACCTTCCCCGACTCCATTTGCAAGAGGTAAATGTTGTTATAGGTCTGCTGTCTCCCTCCTTCCTTTAACACATCACGCAACATAAACACGTTGTATATACACACAATTCAACAAATTCACACAGTCTTACGATTGGTTTCACCATATCACTTTCGTCTCACTACTTTAGATCTCTCTCTTCATTTTAACAGCTGTATAACAGCCCACTGTATGGGTCCATTGTGTTTTATTCAATCATTCCTTATTGGATGATCATTTATTTGAGTTGTTTACAAGTTTTCACTTTTAAAATGAACTCTTAGATAACAAGTCCATTGGCCTATCAGTATTTTGAGATTTTTCCATAGTAAACGTTTTTGCTTTCACAATGACATCAACAACAAATAGACAACCAACAATAAAATCAACTTCCTTTGAAATGCAGATGACCTAGAGACAATGCCTGCCACATGAATTCCCTTGTCCCTTGATCTTGCACAACTGGAATACCTTCCATTCTCCAATGACTTCCTTCTCATTCCAGCTGAGCCTTTTCTAGGAAATCTTCCCCAATTCTCTAGCTCTCATAGTCACTCTTACTTGAAATATACATACCTAACTCATTTCTGCACTGCTTAGCAGTCACTTAGCCTTTGTTACTCTGCTGAAAAAAACTCCTAGGCAGCTCACAGCTGCCCTATTCTCTGGAAAGATCTGCTGATGCAAAGAAATAGGCCTTGGTGGCCATGTGTCACTTTTGTCTTCCTTAT